TTTTTTTTCTCTTTTAAATACCAGTACTGCCTAGGTCACGTGTTCAGCTGTACAAGCATACCCTTGTCTCTATCTGCATGCAACAGGCAACTTGGCAATGCTGCATCTTGCCTTCAGGGAGTTGCAGGCCAGCAAGAGCAGAGCTGAGCTCCCGCAGCAGAACTGCACATGTGGAATAGTCTTGGCAGGGAAGTTTATACAGCACTTGGGCTTGAGCCAGGTAATGCAGGCAGCGCTTGCTTATTCCTGAGTTGTAGGAGCATTAAATTCATACTTCTGTTATAGCAGAGGGTTTCTTTCCATTATCCAGTTTGCTGGAAAATTACCTTGTGAGGAGATTGGGTTTTAAGACTTTAATGGATGATACAGCTTTCTAAGCAAGGAAAAAAAGCCGCTTTTAAAAGACCTCGAGTGGAGGAACCAGTGTCGGGCAGGAATGTGTGAGCTAATCTGCTGTGGGAAAGGAATGTCTGGTGAAATTGTGCAGATCTGTCATGGAAGCGGGTGGCAAGCTGAGTGTGGACACAAGAAACACGGGAGACCCACTGAACTGTTTCAGTTATCCTTTCGGTGCCCTTCCCTTTAGTAGTCCAAATATTTATTTGAGTCTTTTCTTTTAAACGAAATTAACATCCAGTTAACTTTGTCCAACTGAGAATATTAGGGAAGGGTAAACCTCTAAGGCTGAAGGCCTGTTCCCAAGAGGATTCCTTACACGTTTTGCAGGTCTGGGATTTTGAGCAAAGACCTGCATGAACACTGATGCATCTATTTTTTTAGAGCCCTGGAAGGGAATTTGCAGAATCCCCAGAAAGGAAATCCGCCTTTTCAGCGAGAATGCTCATTTGACAAGTTGCCAGTTCTGAGCTAAGCCTCATTTAATAAAGATTTAGTCTGTGGGGACCTGTCAGTGGAAACTGAATTTGGTGAGTGTCTCATTCTTTTCATCACCGTAGTGCACAGAGGCTTTCAGCCAGCATTATGGAGAAACTAGGGATAAGAACATCCACTTTAGAGGAACCCCTTACCTCTGGGAATATTTCCTTGCTGTGTAAGATGGAGATTGCCGAGTTGGTAATAGCTGAGGGAATAAATGGGTTGTTATTTTACTTTAACCCAATAGGACTCCAGTGTTCACTGCTGATTAGCATGGCTTAGATCTGTGTTTCTTGGCAGAAAAAAATCCAGCGCAATTGTTGGTCAAATCCTTCGTACTAGATGCTTTCAAACTTTCTTTAGTTTGGGTTGTGATATGAGATGCTCTAATGAATGCTAGCAACTGCCCCTCTGTAACCTGCGGAAAGTGAGGAGCGTAGGCTTATCTGCAGTATATGTTCAACCACAGCTCTTAACAGGGCTCTGGTGATGACTGTGTTGTTTATTGGTTATTGTAACAAACTAGACATCAGCAAGGAGGCCTCTTTTTGGCCTCTGCGCTGGTGGCTTCTGTGAATTGGATCAAATATGAAGACCATGTTGAAAGTCTTTAATTATAAAATGAGGGATCAGAATGTTAGTATGGAGGAAATGATAAATTTTTAATCAACCTTGCCTTGTTCTCACATATTGCCTGCGCAAGGGCACTTGAGAAATTAATCTGAATTAACTGAAGGAATAAATTCAAAGCAGATAAGTTAAACCACTTGAAATGCGCTAAAGTCAATTAAACTACGTTGAGTTAAAGCCATTCTAGTTAAAGTATGTTAAACCCCTATGTGAACACTCAGTAATTAAAGTAGCCTTAGTTCACAGCTGTAATATCAGCTAACTTAGGAATGCCCCTTCCTGTGTAGATAGTGTCTCAGTATTGCAGAAGCTAGCCTGTTTATGTAACCTACCTGGTTAAATAGGTTTGAGCAATCTAGTCATGTTAGGAGATGTTTCAACTGTTTTGTTCTCATGTCTAGTGAGGTAGTAACCTTTATGTGATTTAAAAAAAAAAAGACATAATCCTTGGCATTTTCATTTTCCAGAAACACTATCAATAACCTGAAGAAGCTCAAGGCAAAATGTTGGCCTGTATCACTGCTCCAGTGCGGACTTGCTCTTAATACGTGTATCTACAATCTACTGCACTTTCTCACAGTATGCTTTTTCTGGGAGATGTCTGTATAAGTAGATGAGACCGTGGAACCTGTACGCTGTTTCCATGGTGTTCTTCCTTGCTGCCGAGGGATCCTTAATGAAGGAGAATACATCTCGGTACCGTGGGAAAAGGCTCTTCCACAACATGTTTCCTGCCCAGCCTTACTTCTCTACTGTGTTGAATATTGTAATTGGCCTGGGAAGGCCCGTCCCCCAGGCAGGGGAAATATGGATGGTTTAGTGCTAAGATCAGGCAGTGGTTTCCACATCCTTTCGCTGCCCCCCCCCCCTTTTTTTTTTCCTCTCTCCCCTCTCTCCATTTAGATTTGCTAATACATGGTTGGCTGCGTTCCCTACCGAAGTCTGCATCCATCTGTAGTGGCTGTGGGATGAATGACATCCTGAGACACTTAAATATCTCAAAGTACACAAATGAGATTCTTCTCCTACATGCGGCACTTTTCACCGGAAGGGAGATGGAAAGAAAAATTGGGTCTCTGAATACGCAGCGTGTTCAGAATAAGTTGATGAGGGGTCAGAATGTTTTGGCGTCACCAGCCTTAGAAAGGGATCTGTTAGATAGGACATAATTACTTGTGATCTAGGAGTACGTAAACTGCTTAGATGTTCCAGCCTCTGCAAAAAAAGGTGTAGAAAGTAGTGTAGGCATGACTTTATCCTACAGCAATTGCTGTTCTTGCTAAGAAGACTTCAGTCGTTCATGGAATAAATAGACATGAGAGCTCCTTGGCAGCAGCCCAGTTTGCTTCATTTGTTCTTCTGGGTGAACGTTTTTCTCTTCCCACACTCCTTTAACCTCTTCTCTCTGTTTTATTATTGCATTCTCAAGTCATTGCATGGAAATCCAGAAGGAACATTAGTTGCAGATTGAGTGGAAAGCTTTCTTTTGGCAAAAGTTAACCTTAAGGTAAAATGATAAACAGTTCAAAATCTGGCAATGATTAAGCCAGCTGTGTTGTTCAAATGCTCAAAAGCTATAGCTGTTAGATTTTTATATTTTGTCCTGTGGGCTGAAATTACTGAGTTTAAGCTAAAATAATTTTAAAACTAGTAGTGGAAGATGAAAAGCATGAAGTTTTGCTTTTAAGAAACCACCTGAAGGCCTTCAGCTTTGCTCCTGAGTTTCTTCTTGAGATTTTAGTGGACTTCCTAACTAGTACTAAAATAGCAGTGTTATTCAGAAATAGCTATCAGCTCTTCCGTGCAAATAGCTCTCCACTATGCCGTGCTGCTTTTAGAACAGTTAAGATCCAAGAGGTGTGATAATTGGAAGTTTGATAGCTTGAGGCTGGCAAAACTTGTAGTTTAAATAAACCGATGGATTGTTCCGAGTTTGTGTGTATTCAAGGTTAACTTTCTAAACCTGCCCTGCCTGCCAGGACTACTTGTGCTGAGTAAACTTCATGGCAGAGGGGAGGTTGTGGTGTGAGGAGGACGAGTCCCCAAGCCAACGCTCCTTTGTACAGTCAGGTGGGAACAAAGAGTACTTAACACAACGTGAAACCTCGGCTCTTACGTGAGTGCGATCTAACACTGCCCTCCTGCAGTACAATGCTACGTTTTTCAGGTTTTCCCTCATAAGGAAACTTATTCAAATGTATTTTGTATATCCCTTTTCTTATCTCATTCTTTAGACCGCTTTTCCCCTTCATGCTGCTGGCAATTGTAAGGATGGTTTCTTATGTGGGGGCACTTCCTACTGGGGGAGGACAGGATGGGCATATTTGTGAATTTTAGCCTTAATTGCAGCCTCAGTAGCTAAAATCAGCCTTCCAGGACCATGGTGATCAGGGGCATAATCAGGTAAGTAATGACATGAATCACGCTTGGGAACCAGTGGTCTGAAAGAGTTGAAACCAACTGTTTTGTATGGAGATTTTTCATCCTGTAGACAAGGCTGCATGTTGGTTAGGTCAATCCACAATAATATATGGCACCTTACTAATTGATGATCCATCTCAGGGACCAAGAATGGTGCTATACTGAAGGCTGACCTGCATATACATTCTTGGATATAATATCAGCACCCACAAGTCCCCTTGTACCATGTGAGAGCTCCTGGGAATGCCTGCTCTATACTAGCCAGCCCCTGGATGTTTATGTGGGGGTGGTTTTTGCTGTGTCTGGTGTTCCTTTTGCTGATGGTGCCTCTTTTCTGTGCATGGGGATCTAGATGTTTCCTGCTTCTTGTTTTGCTTCTTATGCCCATTGGGAGAGGAGGTATTGGGAATCCTGGCAGTCATGCTGGAGTTGGGAAAGGCTGTTAATGCTGCAGCAGACTGTTAAGCACAGCCTCTGCACAGGGCAGATTGAGTTTTTTCAGGTGTCATGGTGCCTTTCCAAGCTAGCACTGCTGCACACTGTTATTTCTCTATGTACTGTTGTTCACTTTTATTTTGAAAGTGCTGCTGAATGCTATAGCTTCGTCTCCTGCCAGTCTGGCTGATACCACGTGGATTTGCACTTATTTTCAGGGACTGCTCTGTCTCCACTTCTACCATTAGTGTCAGCACAGTGGTAAAATGTTACTCCTCCAAGTTGTCTCCGTTTTCCTGTAAGTGCAGTTCATGCATCACTTGCTGTAAAGGTTCTGATAGTTCAGCAAATGTTAGAAGATGAATTCATGCTCTTTTGTGGCAAAAGGCCCAGTGCATAATTTTACGTTTATTCGGGATAACGTGGCCTTGGATAACCGAGTCCCAGATTTAGTGTTGCAGGATAAAATGTCTGAGGGTTTTATCCAGGCTCAACCCCCTTTTTTAAATACTGTCATTTAATCCTGACAAGCAGGCACAGGCATATCTTTGGTTGCAACTGGGCTTTCACTGCCAGCCAGTCTCTGGGTCCTAAACTGAGTCATCAGTCAGAAAGATTAATATCTGCTCTGCTGGATGATTTCACTTGTTGTCGTGGCACGTATCCATTAACGGAAAACAAATATTCTCTGGGAAACGAAACAGATCTTGGTGAATTGGCCAGCCAAGTCCTTTTGGCCAAATGCTTAAATTAAAGCATATATTTAAGTGTCCCTTCCATTGTCTGGTGCGTGGCAGTTTTTTGTTTGTTTTTTTTTTTTTCATTTCTGCCTTTGTCTTATTCTTTTCTTTTTTAACGGGGTCTGCTCCTCTACATCTGGAGCATCTGGAGTGTGGATTTTTTCACTGATAAAGAGTGAATGGGAGGCTCTTTTCAGCTGGCTTCTTCTTTCCCTTGGTAATGCCTTTTAGCGAGTACAGGAAGGTTGAGGGTGTGAAGAAAGAAGTGCAGGCAAGTAGCATAGGAAAGCTTTGTATTACAGCAGCCTGAAGTGTTTAAAAAATAAAGAATATCCCCATGGAGCCTTGTATGCAGAATGTGTTAGTTAAATTAGTATTGAGTGCTTGTGCATGGCAGGCCTTCAAAAGTGGGAGAACTTGGTCTCTGAATACAGCTTCCCTCTCGAAGGCCTCTTTCTGCTCAGGAACTCAAACAGTGCACGCACCATCTGGCGTAATCATGGGAAAGGGGGATAGTGCTTTTTCCCTTCCGCCCCCACTTTTCTTTCTTAAAAATCAAAATGCTCCATTCCTACAACGCTGAGTTTGTGCTGCTTAATTTGAGAAAGTCGTACCTGTAAGCTTCCCCCCATCCTCCATGTGCTCGGCGAGCTTTGAGTAGGTTTCGTAAGGCCGTGAAATTGGCTTGCTACTAGGTGGAATAGCTGTTCTGCAGCAGACGGTTTTAACTAGCGTGAATCTCATTATATATGGTTGATGGGCACTACGGTGTGTAAACGCTGATGTTCACTTGGCTAGAAAGCGTGTGGAAGCGTTGTGCAGCTTGTATAGCTTGCCAGAACAATAACACAGCTGGAAGTACCTATGGAGCAGAATGGCTGGATGGAGGGAGAGAAGGGAAGAAAAGCCTATGAAGAGGAAGTTACTACCAGATCCTGTTAGAAACGATCACAACCTCTCTCGAGGATCTTGCTATGTTTTACCTGCAGTATTCTTTGTTCCAATCCTTTGACCAGGAAGTTGTTTAGACGAGGTGGGAGTGTGTAAGTGCTACTTAAGGAATTTCTGCATGGGGAGGAGAAGAGATACTGAATAAATTAAAAAAAAAAAAAAAAAAGGGTGGGGGGGGACCCCAAACCTTTGTTTGGCCTTGTCATACCTCAGATGTGTTTACTTTTGAAATATTGAGACAGCAAGAGATGATTTAGGCCCTTTCCAGATATTTAAGCCATTTTTAATAAGTTGTCATTTGTCACCACTACCTAGTCTTTGTCCAGAAAAGTTGATAGACAAAAGAACATTCTTCATTCATATGGGAAAGACTGTTTTTGGGGTTAGTGTCTGGGTTTTTTTTTTTTTTTGGTGGAAATGAAACTGTTTAGCTTTTTTGGTTTTTGGTCAGGATTTTCTGAGTGAAAAGAAATTGAAATGGAGTTAAATGGAATTGGAATGTACTTAAACACTTATTGCTTCCCTTTCCTCCTAGGGAACATCTGAATAGAAATAGGTGCAATAAGATAACTAAGCTGGTGACCACTTCCAACCAGTGTGCCTGTAGCATTTGCTGTTAGTTTTGGTCTATCCATATATGTGGATGGCATATGAGGGATTTACCGTTTATTCTAGGCCTACCTAGAATAGAAGCTTTGCATGGGGATTGATTCTTTTAAAAATCAATCTCACACATGTATAATAAATTCCACCCCCTTTCAAACCCACGCATGCACTTGGGTTTCTGATGAATAAGCCTGCATATTTATTCATGAAGATTAAAGAACTGCTCAGAGGCAGCTGGCTGAAGTCTTCCCTCCCGCCCTTTAAATCTGCTGACCTCTGGTCCGGGGTACAGAGGAAACCCTCCCTGATTCATTTAGGCTATTTGCAGTCTTGGGTAGACAAAATGGCTCAGCTATTTAGGGTTTAGATACAGAAGTTGGTCTTGTGGAGCGGGGGCAGGGAGGGGGAGCAAGGGAAGCTACCACATGCTGAGGGCTAAAAGTCTCCTATAACAAGGTTTTTTCAGAGTTGCGCTTCAGGATGGTCCTATTGCCCAGGCCTCAAGCATTTGGGGCCCTGATTAACAGCCTCTGCTATGGGTGTGATGTGGTCAAACGTGACAACAGTATTTTTGCCTTCCCCAGGCCCTGTTGCTGTTGGGTGGCATTGCTATTTCCTGCCTCGCTCTGGACCTCCTCTTTCTCTTGTTCTACTTGTTTTGGCTGTGCTGCCGCCATCGGAAGGGCGAATGCTGACTGCTGCTGTACAGCCTGGTGCGTGATCATCGCCACCCTCGTATGCAGGTGAGGTTGCTGCCTGAAAGGGATCTTGCCTGTTGCTCAGGGTGGTGTATCCTGCGTGTGTATGTTGAACTTGGTATGCTGTCTTTATAACTAGTAAATGTTGTCTGTAACACTTCCTTCTGCTCACTATATGCATGTTTTAAACATCAGTAACGTATTGTCTTCCTTTCTGCAACTTGCTGAACTGCCTGCCTAGTGGTTTGAGCAATACGAAAAGGAATAGCTGATGTCCTGCTCCTTGATACTTTGCAAGTGGTTAACCGAGGACTCTGAGCTCATCACTTAGCTAGGAAGGATACAGTTCAAATATTTAACAGATCTAGCTGGGATCTGTTAGACTCTGGTGTCCAAAAGGAGTGAATATATGGGCGAGTAGATTATGAAGAGAGAGGCACAGATTTTGGGGGGGGGGGGGGGGGAGGGGACAGGTGGGAAGTGTTCATAAGTGATTGGAAATGGACCTTCAGAGCTTGCAGTCAGTATAAGATAAGTCTTGCGTTTCATTATCTGTACTAATGTGCTGTCTCCAAGGGTTGCTAGTGATGCCGCTAGTGTCAGCAGTGTTTCATGTTATCACTGAACAACAGGAACTCTTGGAGGTGAGATGAAAAGAAGCATTGCTGAATAACGTGAAAAGTTAAATAATTGGTAGAGAACATGGTCAGAAAAAGTTAAATGGAGAAATTTTAGATTTTATGTTTGTGTTGCTCTAGTATTTTTGGTCAATGCAGACAAGGATCACAGAATCACAAAAAGATAGCAATAGGGCCAGTGAAAGCAGGAAAACATTTGCAGACTTCTGAAAGGAACCTTGGGCTTAGTTTGTTTTGACTTGGGCAAAATTAGTACTCTGAGATCCATGGACTAACGTAAACAAAGACATATGTCCTGAGATTGAGCTTTGCCTTCTTGGATAAGAATCACTAACGCTTGGAATTAGCAACTAGGACAACCCGGACTCTTCCCCCGTGCCTGGGGTGGCAGGTCTGAAAACAGTCTTCCAGACAAGACGTGTTGATTTTGACTGGAAATATTATGCAATTGTACAGCATCAAGGAAGCATGTATCACCTTTCTTTCTGCCTCTGTTTTGATAAAATTCTTTAGAGAAGTTATGACTTAAAAAAAAAGAAAAAAGGGTACTGCCATTTGTGCAAAACTTCTGTAAGGGAGTTGGTTCATGCTTTAATTTGATTTTTGAACAGGCCAAGAGAGGTTTGGCTTAGTGAGTCCACAGTGGACTGTGTGATTAGAAGCCCGAGAGAACTGTGCTAACTAGGGTGCATAGGGGTGAGGCTGAGCTAGAGTAGCCTTACCCTCCAGAAGGGAGATAAGGAGGAGACGATTGGGTTTTGTAGTGTTTCAGGGGTCACTACTTCTCTTTATCTGCCGATAGGTGGCAGATTTGGAATGCGTCCTTTTTTGAGGAGAACGTGTTCCTTGAAGGCCAGGCTTAGTCGTTCAAGGATTAGATTGTGCCATTAATGCAGTCTCATATTTGCTTTGTTGAGGCACATCCTTAAGAAAACAGAAAAACTCGAAGGGCTGGAACCGACAAAACAGAGCAGACGCTATAGTGCTGGGAGTTTAGCGAGCTGGGGATGGCTTTGCTTGTAGAAGCAGGGCTTAGCGGTGAGGAGGAGAGCTCATGTATTGGCAAATAATGCCTTCTTTGCAGAGAGCTCTTACATGCCTTGCTGGCCACAGATAAGCGCCCGGAATGGAAAGGTGAAATAGGGAACAACTCGCATAGAAGAAATCTCAGCCTTAGTCACCTTTCTTGTTAGCGGTCTCAAGAGCTTCAACTACATCCATTCCAATTCATTGAAAGTACTGTGGTCCTAACTCTTCCTTACAGACACTCTAACTGATGCTATTTATAGTTGAGCTGCTGCTACAGACTCTTGGTAGCTATTGTTATGCTGCATATATATCCAAGGCAGCTGCTGCAGTGTGGTGGGGGTTTAGTTTGTTTTTAATCGTACGAAGGGCAAGAAGAAAGCATTCTGCACATCTCCCCACCGCATGCAGGAGACAAAGTTAAAAGGTCAGCATTTAGATTCTAGTAAACTTCATGCAACTCCCAGTCTTCTCCATAAGCTGGAAAACTGCTTAGGCTTCCTCAAAATCTGAACCATCTGTTTTCATCTCTGGTGTACCCTGTTTGTTTTTTCTAGTATGAAATGGAGGAGTATCCATAAATTTAAGATTCTACCTGAATCTGCAGTGATATTGCATGAATATTTGTCTTGTCTGTTATTTATTTATTTAACTTTTAAATTTCCATTCAGAAGTTGGCACTTTTGAGTGATAGCGGGTTGCGGTAACTGAGGTGCTGGCCAAGCACTGCTTGCTTTGCCGCAAAGTCCACCCCTTTCCCCTCATCCAACCGCAGCTGGACGTGACAGTGCATTCAAACTGGTGCCGTTTGGTGCTCTGTGTTCAGTGTCTGGCTGGGGATGCAGATACGGCTTCCTACAAGCATGGGCTCTAACCTCTGCTAGCAGGAAGTCCCAATTAGACAACAACAGCTAAAGTATTATTCAGCTGGCTATATCCTGTCCTAACTGTGCATTACATGTAACAGAGGTGCCAGACTGGCAGATGCTGCTGTATTTCAGGGAATAAGGTTATTCTAAACGTCGGTCTGTAACAGCAGGCTGACCTGCAAGGCAGTTTGCACTGTTGTGCCCCAGGCAGGGAAACAAGGTAGCTTGGATGCTCAAGTGAAGAGAGGTTTGAAACGATGGCTGGGATGGGCTGTCCAAGTGTTGTAAAGTGGAAGTGGACGCTGACTAGCGTCTTCCTAGCTGAGCGCTAGTTAACTCTGGGTAAGGCCAGCCATGCTCAATACGTGCTTACCTAGGTAGTACTTAATCCCAGAGGGCTGTTTGCACTGTGAATCCTGCTGAGTACTGGCTTTGTCGCTGTGGATCGCTGTTTCCTAATGACTCAGTGTTTCCTGATGAGCAAAAGGGAAAATACTGAGCAAGCAGGAAGATGTAACTGGTTAACAGAAGTTCTCTAACAAAATTGTATCTCTAATGATTCTCCCCGATTGCTTTAGCCACAAAGCTGCAGGAATGACCTGTCTAGGTTAGTCCTTGATTACCTAGTTTGTCTCTGGTCCTTCCAGTTTTGATCTGTGCCTTACAAGTAATTTCATCCTCAAACCTCTGTAGCTGCTAAAATCCCCAGAAGGGAGCTCAGCTTCAAAGGTGGATAGGAAGTTTCATGGAGGGGACACCTGAAAAAAAAAAAAGGGTACAAATGGATGGTGAAAGCCTGCTTTCTCAAGTGCCAGTAATAGCGCTTTCCCTTGGTGCTAAAGTGCAAGGTGGTAATTAGACAGACAAATTAACATTCCTCCTGAGAACACAAAATCTAAAAAGGCCTCTCCTTATGAAGTTCTTGTAATTAAAGATGACTTGGTGTAGTTAGATTATTCATTTATGAGGATGTGATGTGAATGGGTAGTGTTCATCTTTTCAGTCTGGTGATTGGATACCCACAGGGGGTTTCACCATGTATGTATATATTATAACTAGAAGATCTCTGTCAGAAGGCATGAATATGCTCTCTGTGCAGGAATTAATGCCTCTGCTGTTGATATATACCTCTTGTAATCCAGAAAACAGTTTTCACGGGTGGTATTGCCAGGTAATTTGGAATTAGTCTTGATTTCTCTCATTCTGGCTCTTTATCATGGGCTATCCTAAGCCGTGTGACCCTTGCATATAAACAGTGTGAAAGCTGTGGCCTCAGTGAAATCCAATGGTGAACCTTCCAGGAAAAGAGAGAGGAAAATATGTGAGATTTTTTTCCCCCTCCTCCTGTCCTGAATCTTGTTGAAAAGTGATAGTGAAGCACAAGGCAACATGCAGTATTCGAAACTGTACTGTTGTATCAATATGAGTATGCAGAAGTCCTGGTATGCGGCTGTTCTGTCCCAGGTCATACACCTCCTTGAAGGGCTCACATAAGTACACTGTCTCACCTTGGGGTGTGTTTGTGTGTATGCACCGATAATGATAGCGTTAATCTCAGGAGTGCAGTGTTTTCCTGACTTTACAGATGTGGTTTTCCTGACACTCACCAGGACTGTGTAGCCAAGTTGCTTTTTAAATGCTGTATTGGGCCCACTGAGCAGTAAGAGTAACTTTTTAAACGTGCCATATGAGCTGGGCAGATTGATTTTTAAGATTCTCCTTTAAAATATTAGCAAGAGGGAAGATGGGGGAGAAGTAGGGCTAGCAGAAGGGACAGGAGACTAGCAAAAGTAGGTTTAGGAGGAAGAACTGAGGATGGGATGGTGTGCAGTAAGGAGGAGAGAGGTGCATGTGTGCACTAGGGAGAAACAAGAATAGAAGAAGTAGAGATGACTTTCTTGTGGAAATGTTGAAAATGTGTTAGAGTATCTTCCAGAGGGTGCTAAGGTGGAAGAGCTGTGTCATTCAGGAATGCTGGTCTAGTATCCACACCGCATGACGGAAATGCATGCTTCCCCATGGTGTGATGATTTTTTTTTCCTCCCTTCCTTGATCATGTGATGGGAGGTAGATCTGCTGCATCTTAGGCTATAGAGCCTTCCAGGGTTTGTACAAGAAGCCATGTGATTTGTCCTGACCTCAAGGACTTATACTGCGGGGTTAAGATGAGTTAATCTATTTTTAGTTTAAAAGACTGAGTTTAAATGAAAGGAGCCCCTCTGCTTCTCTTTAATCAAATAAAAGGTAGTTAAAAAACCAAGTGCAAATCCTTAAATCTGCTTTAAACAATAGCAACTTATGCCATCACAGTGTGTGCAGGCAGGGGTTTGAAACAGCTGTTAGATTTCGGTGAAGCCACATGCAAACAGAAAGCTAAGCAGCAAGTCCCCTCCTCTTTCCCCACGGCCAGCCCCCCAGTTGCCTGCCCTTCAGCTCTGCCCCCTCCGTCGCAGTACGGCTCCAGGCAGCTGCAGCCAGCACGCGCTGCTGTGCTTTGGGGACAGTTTCCTTCCCGCTAGTGTGGTAGAAAGAGAAACTCATGAAACTGTAAAGCTTACTCCTAGGAGAAAGAAGGGCTGTGTAAGTGGTTCTTATTAGCACGCGACACGAATGCAGAATTAAGTTTTGCTGGCCAGTAATGGGAATAATTAATACTATGTGCAGTTCCCAGTAAACATATGATATTGTGGACTCTGCTCTCTGAATTAAAGGGTTTTTATCCTAAATCCTGTTGCTCTGACGTTTTCTTTCAGGAGTGAGGACTGTGCCTAGGTGGTTAAGGGCAGCTGAAGTGGTCATTAATATGCTGCTGGATGGGGAAGCCCGTGAGGATGGCTGCTGTGATGGCTCTGCCCTTGGTATGGCAGAAGAGTTTCAAGTCGGTTACCTGTAGTTGGTAGCACTTTGTAAATGGTGCCCTATAGTAAGCTGGGTTATGTACCTTGCTGCATCTTATTTTTAAGGACAAAGTGACTACTGCCACTTCACTCTGAGTGCAGTTTCTGATCTTTTTCCATCACAACACTGCTACTGTGCTGGGAATACTGAGAGCCAACCAGCAGATTTTGGGTGCTTGCCAAGCCTTTACTGAAAGAATAGGGTTTAGTAGCTCTAAAAAGCTGAATAAAAATGAGCCTCAAAATGAAGGAGTCGAATCTGCTTCTTCAATATAAAGAATGTCTTGTAATTTATTTGGTGTCGACACACCAAACACAGCTGTTAGATGTTGCTGCTCTGGACAGTGGAATGGTCTGTCTGAATTTATTTGCTCTGATAAGACAAGGGGAAGTTGAAGGCAGAAGTACCATGATGGGCTGTTGAGTTGCCATTTCCTGAGTATAGCTCTGAATCTATAATCTCTTGCTGGATTTTCTTCTAACTAAACCTGCATCCTAGGCATGCAGTATCTGGCTCGAATAATAGCTGCAACTAGGCAAGAATGCAGAGGGCTTTTCTCTCTTTATCAGTTCTGTTTGCATTATGGAAACGCTCCTGAGGAATGGTTTCGAGAAGAAAGAGACTGAATTCCTTTAATAAGACTAAATGTTGCAAGAGTTGCATACCTGCTACTGCTTTCTGCCTGTGATGTAGGATAGGTGCTTTCCCTGGGAGACTCTTCAGCTGAGGTTTTTATGGGCCAAGCCCTCTATAACTTACGGAGATTTGATAGAAAAAGCATGAGACGGACACAGATTTTTGTAGCTGTTTTGCTTGCAGAGCATGATCTTTACTTCTATTTCTTGCATATGTGCAGAGAAAGTAGAAACAAAGCCAGGTTAACTGTGTTGTCCTGCTCAATGCTATTGAAGTGGAGACCAGGGAAGGAGGGATGAACGCCCTCTTCTGCAGGAGAGGAGCTACAGCTCAACTAGTCATTTGAGCTGCATATGGGTGTGTTTGCCAGAACAAATCTATGTGAGGGTCTCCTGTCTAGACAAAGCCCACTCTGACCTGCCTGCTGGGGTTCATTTCCCGGGAGAGAGAGTGGGGCTAGAGGGAAGGAGTGGTTACTGTCCTTCAGTGACCCTTTCTGCTGTTGTTTGGTGTACTTCCTTCCTTTTTTTGTACTTCCTTCAAACCACCTCTGTAAGGACAGCACCGTAACCCAGGCAGAAGATTGTTGTGAAGAAACTAGATGGTTTATCCGGAATAACTTTAAGTCTATACAAAAACGACAAAACTCCCTTTCTGCTGCCACACGCATGCAACTTAGGTGTCTTGAACCAGCCTAGAAAAGATTCTGGGCCTCTGAAGCCAAACGTGAGATGTCAATAGGAAATTTGTATCTTGGTAATGTTTGTTAGCCCTGAGTTTAGTTGCATGACCCCTTAACAAGTTCTTTCCTCCTCTATTATTAAGAAAAATGGTCTTGGGAAGAGGAGCTGTGCCTTCCTGTGGCGATGCCTTAATAGAAGAGATGTTGCTGACTTGCATGAGATAATCTCCAGGTTATTACTCATTTACAGGATCTTCCTCATTTAAGTGAGGCTTAAGCTAATATGGTTTACTTCATAATTGAGACAGATTGATATGTGTGGACAGTTAGGGTAAATCAGCTGATAGGTGGTCATTTGCTAAGCAGCTGGAGTTGAATTGTGTCTCTGAGCTTGAAATTCACTTGCTTTAAAAATAAATTAAACCTTTTGTAATAAGCCGAGTAAGTGTTTAAGCCTTGCTTACCAGTACTCTAAATTAGTGCAACACCAATGCTCCTAATAGGAAGAGAGATGATGTTTGTACATATTTCAGAGTGGAGGAAAGAGAGTATAGAAAATGCATCTACAAGAGCCACCACAGTGGGCAAGTATTTGATGCAAGCTCTTTGTGTCCTATTTTTTAAAAATGTAACGAGTGAATCTAGTCCATGTCCAGAGGAGGTATGTGACCCCTGGCGTAGCAAGGGTAGCTCTCATGCCTCTTGTGGGAGCAATTGAAGGACACCTTGGCTGGCTGGATTTCTGATTGCCTGTGGCTAGGTCTGAACTCTAACAGATTTTCTTTACCGGACCATGAATGAAACGCACACGTTGAGAAGGGGTAGTGTGTCTTGTTCATCATATGGATGCTATGCAGAGAATTGATGGGAAAGCTGGGGGATTGTTCATAGATTACTTTTTTTTAGTGGTTGCTGGGGAGTATAACTACTCCAGCTACTCTTTATGGAGATATGCAGCTCTCCTTTCTTTGGAAGCTGCTGAAGAGACTACGAAGGGTGCTGAAGAGGTAGGCATGTATAGATAGCTTTTTAGCTTTAACCTTACCTTTTCTTGCTTTTCTGTCTGCAGTGCAGGAATTGCTGTTGGTTTCTATGGGAATGGAGAGACCAGTGATGGCATTCACCGGTTGACGTACTCGCTACGCCATGCAAACCGCACTGTGGCAGGTGTCCAAGACCGGGTAAGCATGAGGGAAGACATGCTAGGAAACGGGGAGTGTGCGAATGAACAGATTTCCTTAGCAGCTCTCTTCTCTTGATTCAGGCTATGCTTATATTCTGCCCTTTTTCTGTTAGACTCTGATCTTAGAGGTGTTCTAAAATTTCCATTAATGGAGTGACGCTTTCTTCGACTCTTCTGAAAATATCAAAGCAAACACAGCTTGTTAGATGAAGTCCTCTCTTTGCGATTGTGCTTGGTTTAAAAACAGCTTCTGATTAGCGCTACTCCATGCTCGGAAATGGAAGGAGGCCAAAGCAGAGATCTCTTGGTAAAATATCATTTTAGCACGATTGGCTGTTGCTGTGCTGTCCCTAAAGACTATCATGGTATAATTCTGCAACCCTGATAGCTCTAGGTACTAATCTTTTGATACAACATTGCCTTTAGTAAACGGCCCTCCACTAGACTTAATTGCAGCCATTTTTATAATCTGTTTTAGAGGTAAGGTGAATGAATCTTAAGAGGAAAAAAAAATTGCATTCCCAGCCCTAGTGGCTGTGTTCTAGGTCTGTGCTGTTCTGTTGGGTCACCTATCTTGATGCAGAAGATGGCTTTTAAACTAAGTTAAGGCAAAGATACAGGCAGGTGATTAAAAAGTGATGGTTGCTGTGCCATAAGAGTTCTTGCTCATCCGAAGAGCCAGTATAACACGTTGCAAAAAGTCTGCATGTGTTTAAGGCTCAGCTGACATACCATGATTGGACTAATTGTAAACAACGAAGTTTGTGGATGCTTAGAAGTTGCTTTTGAAAGTCTAGCAAACTGAGCCTCTTGAGCCTCTTAGGACAGAGGATCTGTAATCTATAAACTGTCTATTGCTTGCTAGTAAGGATGAATCCTTTTTTACTTCCTTGACTTCCTGTAACAAAAAAGCCAATCTATTTATGTTTTAACTGCTATACTACAGGTACTAGATACCGCATTGGCCCTGAACCAAACAGTGGAACCAAATTTGCTGATCCTGGAGGAGATGTTCACAAAGCAGACAGACTACCTGCATGTTATCCAGAAATTGCAAGGTCTCTTGGATGATCTGGTCAGGCAAACAACTGAGATCCCTTTTTGGAAGAATGAAGAGCTCTCTCTGGAGGAGTTGGCAATTCAGATTGACCTCTATGATTGGTACAGGTGTGTAGCGTGCTGTAGTGTAGCAGACATAATATTCTTTGTGGCCAGTGTTTTGCAACAACGATGTGAAAGTTCTGGGTGGCTGAGCCAAAGACTTCTTTCATTACTGTGGAGGCACTTGGCTCAACCAGCTGATTCATTTCCTAGAGCAAAACTGCATTCAGTTGAAACAAACATACATGGCAACAACCTTTTTTACTATATTTATCACTGGCTGAAGGGAAATTTAGTCTCAATGTACAAAGTCTGTAGTTTGTGTTCTTTTACTTGGAGAAAAACCCCCATGGAGATAGCTACTCTAGTGTCCTAACGTCATATAATGCATTGCAGTTTGTACGGCATATTTGTTAACTTACATAGAGCAGGATACTGAACTTACTTCCTTGTGTTAACACCCATCCCTGACTTTCCTTTTTATTAAACTTACTGCATTGAGAAGATCGCATTGAGTGTATTCCACCAAAAAAAGGGTTCAATTATTTTACATATGTGGATAGATGTTTTCTAACAAACGTCTAGAAAGCTCAGGAAGTTAAACTTCTTTCCCTGGTGGTGTCCAGTTCCTTCACATTAGAATAAGGTCAGTAATCTCTTTTCTGAACAACTGCATGCGCTGGTCATGTGTGAATATTCTTACCTGTCTGGACTCCAGAGCCAGCAAATATTCAGAGCTCTCTATGTAGATTAATTGTTAGTGATGGCTTTTACTGTAAGAAAGGAAAGGCTATTTTTCCCATGAGTCACTCTAGCTACTTGATCTGTGCCTTTTATATACCAATTTTCATTTTCAGACTATGTTTTATTTTAATTGCTGCAGGTGGCTGGGATACCTGGGCCTGCTCCTGTTCCATGTTCTGATATGTTTGCTGGTGCTCTTTGGGCTTATAAGAAACTCCAGGGCCATTCTTTTGGGGTAAGTCTTAGTCCAGGCATAGTGCACAAGAAAGACCAGCAGAATGCGAATGCCTGCTAGTTTAGTCCTCCGTACTGTTGTCAGCTAATTTCTTGGACTTCTGAGACTGAACAGCTTAAACTTGCTTCTTAATTCAGAGAGACTTTGTAGAGCATAGCTCTTTGGTAGGATTAGAGCCACATCTGATATGTGTTCACAGAAAGGTTCTTGAGCTGTAACACTCAATGGTACTGGTGTCCTTTGCTTTAGCATCAAAGACAAGGAACAGAGTCTGCCTTAGAGCCTGGGTAGCATTGGTAGCCTTAGGTTGCCTGGGAAGCAGTTGGGAGACAGATACCGTGAATATTTTCCTTAAATTAACAGGCTCTAAAAAATCTCCTTTTAATTCCCTACAGTTGTGAAGAGAGGGGTTAATGGATTATAAGCATTGCACATGGTTGCACAACCTGGTAGCACGCGTTTTGTGTCACGATCTCCTCTTGTTTACCTGTGGCTGTCACGCCTGAGGAGATGTTAAACTGAGAGCAAGCAATGATTTGTACAGTTATGAGGAGGAGTCTTGTTGTCATGGTACTGCAATATTAATTCACATCTATTTCTTAAAAAGCACTGCAAGTGCTACCATGCTCAGGCCCCATTACAAGAACAATTATTCCTCTTCCTATTTTGTAGCTTAGTTTAGCTTGGCACATTTGGCACAGACCACCTGTATCATAAACATAACAGTTGGACAGCTGACATGGCCAAGAGTTTATCCTGGTATATGGTGATGCCATTAATAATTGGAACGTATATTCAGTCTTATTATTTGCCAGATGACTTCATACCTGGCAGGTTATAAAGACAAAAGTCCAAGTGTATGCACAGATGGTAAGCCCAGAGTTTAAATTAGAATCTCATTCCCTGTTAGTAAGAGGTTCAAATTAAGGCATTCCCCAAAGGAAGCGCATGGAATAAAGAACCAAGTGTATCACAGCCAAGCAAGATGGTGAAATGCCAGTTTTAGATCTTGTAGCCAAGCAGTCGGTTACTGATCCAGTCATCTTCATTTAAAGTAAAACAACAACTGTGTCATATTGAGCTGATTACCATGCTCAGCTGAAGGCACCAAGCTGTGTTGTCCTTATGTCACAAAACCACAGAACCTTGCTGATCCATGACCGATAATTTTTGCATACATTCAGAAAAAGGTTAATAGAGTCTTTAGCCTTCTTATTCCAGAGCGCTACACACACCTCAGCTTGAACCTCTGTGAATTTTGCAAGACAAACCACAGATCCATTCACAGAATAGGGACTCCTCAGAGTTAAAATAAGTTGATAAACGGAGGGATGGATCTTATTTTTTAATGTATAGATTACATAATTTTATTTATTTGTTTTTGTAAAGCATGAGTCTGCAGTAAGACATAGTGTAGTGGGAGAGAGACATGTCCCTTCCTCAATGAGATGCTTGCAGTAGGTTTGAATTATGGTTTTTATTTTGTTTTTTCTGGGGGATTAGGAGGGGGAAGAAACCTACTTACGTTTCAAAGTCTGAAGTGAAAGGCGTCTGTGACAGAGCAACTCTCTATTCTGAAGATAGGGGTGCATACAATAATACTGCTCTTTAGTCTATATTCCCATAGCTGAAGGATTTGAGGAGCACTTTTGCCTAAATATCTCCAGTACTCATGCTGACACCAAAGGTGAAGAGCTAATGGGCAAGCTGGGGAAGTGCAAAGGCCTTTCCCGCTGGTGCATCCTAGCTGAATGTCACTGAGACCTCTGCTCTGTTGTTGGTGCCTTGTTTGACTGTCTTGGCTTAATAGCAGACGTTTCCCACTATTTCTGCCAGTAATGAGGTGCAGCTGTCAGAATGAAATTTCAAGTGTGTGCAGAGGAAAAAATCTGCCTTTTAGAGAAGCGCTCACATGGCTGTAGTAGACGTTTAAGCTGTTGCTCTGAACTGTTTGCCCTCAGATGCATGTATCTCTCCCTGGACTATGTGGGGGGCTTAGGTGCTGTTCAGATACATGCAGCTTGGAAATGAAATGAACTCAGGTGTCCTACTATAGACTGTTCCCTCCCACTTTCTGTAGCCATGCAGTGCTTACATCCTGAAAACCCCATTTATTCTAGAAACAGTAGCTATTTGCCTAGTTTTTGATCAGTATGGTTTTGTTTGGATATGGGATATTTTTCTTTGAATAATGTTGGACTTGGAAGGTGAACACCAGAATAAGAATAGTGGAAGTGACAGAACTGTAGCAATCCCTCTGCCAGTCTGCCTTCCCTAAGGCCACCCCTGTGTCTTTGCACCTTTGCCTTCTTTCTGATGCTCTGCTAGGAGCAGACTGAAGACTTTCCTTCCACACCCTCTTCTTCCTCCCACTACCACTGCAGTGCCAGAGAATGTGGGAACCCACAGCTGATATAACCTTTCCTAGTTGCTGCTCTCCATGGCTCATAAAGTGGGATGGCTTATCTGAAGATAGTGGTTGATAATTTCTTGGTTTTGGTGATCACTTTGGACTCCAAATAATAAATTTTGTCAAAGCATCTGGATGCTTGAAATAGAGCCTCTATATCTGCCATCTGTCTGTCTTCTACAGGGTGTGCTTGCTTGGAGTGTTTGCCCTGATTGTCAGCTGGGGATCCTTGGGCCTGGAGTTGGCTGTTGCTGTGGTAAGTAGCTCTGATCCAAATCCAATTCACTCTTTGCTGCAGGTTTATCAGACACAGGAATAAGTAGCTAGTGGTGCATGTTACACTATGCCTGTTTTATAGTATCTAGTTCTAAGTAACTGTCATGATAAGATGTGCCTAGGAAACGTTCAGAGCTCTTCCTCCAAAGTACATTTCACTGGCACTGCTGTGGCTGTGTGAAGCAGTGCTAGTGGGATGATGATGAGAGACTTCAGCCTTTGAAATGCCCCTAAAGTAGAAGGTTTCCTGATGTTAACCTGGCTCAACTGCTCTTTGATAATGATGTTCTTTGATATTCCTTTTCCCTTTTGTCTTGCATCTACCTAGGGCTCCAGTGACTTCTGTATTAACCCTGATGCCTACGTCTCCAAAGTGGTTGAAGATAACGCAGTGCTTAGTACTGGTAAGTGCTGTGTTGGGACTGGCTTAGGCATGGGGTGCTGTGGCTCCAGCTGGCGTTTGGGAGCGTGGCAGTGGCTGAGAATTCGAGGCTACGTTTGGAACCCAGAAACTTGCGTACACTGGGAAAAGCAGATGTGTGCAGAGCTCTGGAAAGCCTTACCAAGAAAGTTCTTCCCGAGGAAGCATTTCTACCCCAGTCAGAAGTACATATGTGTTTGTTTTGTCAGAGAGCTTTCTGAGTCTGTCCTCTGTCTTGCCCTTAGGTGGAAATAAGTGACAAGATGGAGCAACAGAAATCCCTGGATTATTTTTCTTCAAATGTGGCATCCTTGATCTTGTTACTGCTCTCTATGTGACAAAATTGTGGCAATAGCAGTGTGCTGTTTGAGTTGTCTTTTTTAAAACATTCTCTTGGGTCTATATTCCTGGAATCTAATATATTTATTCTTATATCTGTTACCAAATATATATACACACACGTACACATATATTTCTTCCCTATGGTGACTAGAAATAGGAGTATTTTAAAAATGAATTTAAAGGGTAAATGAACTGAAACAGCAGCAAAGGGAAGTATGACTTTCCTTTTCTATTATAAATGTAGTATTTTGACTGCTTTGTTTACCCTCTTCCATTTAAAGCAATATGCCTTCATCACAGTGGCATCCAACTGAAGCACTGATGGATTTGAGGTTTGTCACTCCTAATTTAGATTGAAGTGGTTGGTGAGTTGAGGGGTGCCTCCGGTTTGGTCCTCAGGTGGCAAAACTGGTATTCAGAACTGTCTCAGGAAGAGAAATGTGGCTAGGCATTTGCCTGCCAGCAGAGGTAACTGCAAGTGCTAGAAAGGAAAGGTCTTTCTTTTCTTTTTACTTCTTTTCTGCTTTGCTGACAAAGTAAACTCCCCCCTCCCCCACTCTCTCTCCCCCTGATTGATATTCCCTCTGTAGTTCTGTGTATGATAAAACACAAATAAGCAGTGGCACTGGTTTGTAAAAGTAGCCATTTATATTTTTCTGGTTCTTATTTGCTGCAATATGAGAACCTTTGCTTCACATTCAAAAGATACAGTACATTGCCTGCACATAGCCAAATGCTGCCTCTTACTGTGCAATTGATAGGGAATTATCATGTATGTAGTGATGGCTGATGATGCAGGAATTGGAAGCAATAAGAAATGTTTATGTCTGGAAGCAGAATGTAGTATTAAAGAGTATATACGGGTTGATATGATCACCCTACAACTTATTCTTGGAATGCCTTATTTATTGATTTCCTGGAGAGGAGAGGAGCCAGGCAGCTCAATGCAGAGAGGTCTTTGTAGCAAAGAAATGCAGTGAAGGAAGACTATTAATGTTTAATACTGCACAAGATGAATCCTTTCATGGTTGTGAGGATGACTAAGATGTAGCTTCAAGTACCAGCTAGTCTCATTGTTGGAGGAGGTGAACAGGCCAGGGAGGCCAAGGGGAAATACCTGCTCAACACTACGTGCTATAATAACTTGGTAGCTCCAGTCAACTCTGGAGCATGTTTGGCAACAACGAGGTTGACCCTGAGAAACTGAAAAAAACCCGCCCCTTTATGAACGTCCCTGTTTCATTTGCCTTGACTGCTTAGCTCCTGCAGTTTTTTCCACAATTAGTGGTACTTGTTAGGAGGCTAGTGGTGACTGTAGGCCTGATGCTCCTTTCCTTCCTCCTGCTTCTCCTAGCAGGGACAGTCCGCTCCTCTTAGTGAGTTAAGACTGTATTCTGGCAGCACTGCCAGCTGTAACAGTGGTTGAGGCTCCAGAATGACAGCACGTGGGTCAAAGTGAAATGCTGAAGGGGGGGAAGAGCGAGTGTTGTCACAGGCTTGAGCTGGAAGGGTGGCCTCCTCTGTGGGCAGCTGGTGTATCAGCTCCATGCTGTTAGGCAGCCATTTAGCTTTCGTGAGCACCTTCCCTTTTTTTAAAAGGAAATCGAACTTATTTCTGAGCCTGCTGTCATACTAGGCAGCTGGCTGGAAGGTGGTCAAATGTTCTGTGTTCCCCTGCTGTGGGATTTTCACTGCTGTTTCATAGTTTATGGGCAGGAAGCTACAGAAACGGCTCTTGGTCCCCGTCTTTGGAAGTGTCTGTGCACCTGAGCAGGAAGGAAAATCATGACGTGAGGACTTCAGTGTGGAATTGTTCAGTGACGCTTGAATCCCAATAACGGCTCCTTAAAAACATCCACGAAGGCCTGAAATAAGTGCTGCTGTCCTTTAATATGCTTGGCTGTAAATTGCAGCAGCTGCTTTGGATCAGCTGAGCCATCTATACAACAAGAGCGACAGTCTTGCAGGAGGCAGGGCAGACAGCCGAGAGCAAGAGCCAATACTGTCCTCCCGAAGGAAGCTGTCCTGTTTCAAGGTTTCCAGTTCTGGTGCACAGACTCTTCACGTTTTGTTTTGCTGCCTCTGCTCCTTGGATGTTGCCCTTGGCCATAAATGGCAGTATAGATAAATGAGACAAACATTTTAAGATTGCTCCAGCTAGTTTCACCAGAGTGTATCGGGCCATGGACTTCTCATTTTAGAAAAGAGATGACTAAGAGAGGATCCAACCTTACAGAATTGTAAGTGGCAGGGAGAAAGGTGGATAGGAATTGGTAGTTATTGTCTTAGGAAACAAAAGAAAGAAGAGGCCATCAAATAAAGCTAGCTCAACCCAGAGGAGATGGTGCTCTTTCCAGCAGGTAGCTGAGCTGTGAAACTCCTTGTCCAAGACTATGGTGGATTCTGAAAATTTTTGTGTGGGTTCAAGGGAAGGCTCAAAGTCCATGGAAGAAGAATTGGGAATTATATAGATAAAAAGCACATTTACCTAGGGAATCTCTTGAGTGGAAAATACGGTGGAGAGAGCACTCCTCTGTTTTGAGTCTTCCTTAGGTGTCTGCTTTTGACCAGTGTTAGGGTATGGGATACAGGGCTTGATGCTCTCTTTTGTTCTTACTTGTAGCAGCTCTTATGTCCTTAATCTTAAACATAAAGCAACCAGAGGCTTCAGTGCTGGTTCAGCTACCCATCAATCAATATTTTGTTATTGTTTTTAAATACGTTATGTTCTAATAATCCCAGCCCCAAACCCTGGTGTTCAGGCTAGGTTGAGTGATCCAGGTTTGCGTATCTGCATTGTGTTTTTTGTTTGTTTGGGTTTTTTTTTTGTTTAGGGCTTCTTGTTTGTTTGTTTTTTTACAGTAGGCTTCCTGAAAAAAAATAGTATATTTTCTTTGGATACTGGGCAATAAATATATTAATATTCCTTTTTTTTGTGTATTAATTGCTGTTTACAAATCTAAATAGAATTAGTGGAGCTGAAAATAATCCTATTAAGTGCATCATTGTTGTTGCCATGTTTTTAGCTGGAGAGATGTCCTTTTTTTGTAGATAAAAATGTGCTGCATTAAAAAAAAAATAATGGAGGGGGGTGGGCAGGAGGAAGCAGAAAGCCTTAATGCAGATTTCCTGGAGAAGGAACGACTTAAGTCATTTTACAGAAGAGGCTGATATATGTGTCTAACTCACCCAGTATTCATTAATTGAGAAAAAGCCAATGGAGTTGAACAGTGACTGTATAATCAGCTCCTGCTGCTCGTAAAAAGGCTCGGTGCAGCCAAGATGTTTATTTTCAAAGCAGGAGGCCATCTTCAAGTCTCATTCTTTTCACTGATATTATGTTATTATCAAATGACTTATTGAATAAAATTAAACAAAAAGGCGCAATCTGTCTAAACATCAGGAAGCGCTTTCTCCAGATTCTCTTACTGGAAGTCTGCGTTGTGAGCAGAGACTAGGTTCCTCGAAAGGAACTGCGAACCTCAGGGGATGGGTAATGGAGCCCTTTGCCTCCAGTTGAGCCAGGTTTCTCAGGCTGGATGCTGAGGCTTAGCTCCTCAGATAAAGCAGCAAGCATTCGTGTCGCGCATGGCCTCGTAATTGGCTTCCCGCTGATTCCTCTTCATCTTAGCAGCCTGGAGGGAAATGAATCTGAGGACTGATGCCCCCCCCTTTCCTCTCCAGAAGTAAGGTCGGGATGAAACCCCCTCCAGGGAGTGCGCTGTTCGCACTGTTACTACATGGGCTGAATGGGCACCACTGGAAAGAGCTTCTCCGAAGAAGGGCTCTCGAGGGTGCTGCTGAGCTGACGTTGGCATTCAGGAGCTATGTTTCCCCATGTGGTTTTGTTGAACTGCTGATTAGCAGAAAGATTTGTCCGGATAGCGCTCGGGCTGGCTAGTAGCTCTGTGCCGAAAGCCCACAATGACTGGCCTGATTTCACCAGTGCAAGAGCGACGTGTATGAGAGAAATACAAATGGCATGCAGATGCTGCGCCTTCTGTCAGACTGTCGCTTTAGGAAAATAAGACTCCTAGTGGAGAATATGTCAGTGTTACCTGGGCAAGAAAAATAAGCTGGCCCAGAGTCTCTCTCCTTTGACCTCACAGGTGATATGCTTCAACTGTCTCCAGTAACTGAACCATGGAGACAGTCTTTTGGGTGTAATACGTGAAATGGAAACCACTTAGCACTCAGGTGGAGATGAAGAATGGGAAAAGCTGTTCAAGGTGTGGGATTTTTTTTTTTTTCCAATCAGGATTTTTTTTGTAAACCATTTTTGTGCTTGCTCTTCACCCTACCAGACCTCCTTGCTGCCGTTTGGCATGTGTAATGCCATTTTTGCGTTCTGCTGAGCTTTGTGAAATGAATAGTAAGCCTCCATGGTTGCAGAAGCAATAAGTGGATTCTAGCAGCTGAAGCTAACTCTAGTAGGCTGTTCTACTTTCCTTTCTAGGAAAAATAGACTTTGCAAAAATAAAGCATTTTAGGTGGTTCCCTTCCTTGCCTTCTGCTCACCCGCTGCCTGTGCCTGAGGAGAGTGGGTCAGGAGGGTTGCTGCTAGCACCAGCAGGCATAGGCAGCTGCTGCTGTGACCCTGCCCAACCGCTCTCCTGCAGACTGCATCTCCTACAGGCCGGTTTCAGAAATTAGATCCAGCCTTCCGGAATTTTTCTTAAGCGGAAAATGCATCAGACGAGTAATTCTAGAGAGTGGCTAGAGCTATTAGCAGTGTGCGGATGAGAACAGCTGTTTTCTGGACAGAAATGTGAGACTTTCTCTTGTACAGGACAGCCCTTTGCCAGGTTTAAAACCAGCAAGGGTTATAGTTGTTCTCCTCTTTTTCCCTTCCTGGCGGTATGGAGGCCAGGGCCATGTTTTGCTAACATACAGGCTTTGTGGCACAGGTTAAGATAGCTTCCCCCCCCTCTTGCAGCATTAGTTGTAAATTGCCACGGCTATCAGCACACTGTTCAGTGCAGGGTAGAGCTAATCCTACTGGCTTTGCTGTTTTAGAGAGCACGTTATACATATGAAGTGTGTCACTTTCCAACTGTAATATCACTGCTCCCACAGTCCAGCTATGCTGATGTTACCTTTCCAGAGAGCGGAGCAATGGAAACACTTGCTTCACTGTACCGCTTTTTACTTCACTTGTAACCAGTCTTTGATACTGGGCCCACAAGCTGCAAAATAAGATGATACCGGGAACTCTCATCTGTAGTTGGCCCAACAGGGATGACCCAGAAGGCCTTGGAAAGAAGTTTCTGAAGCCGTATGTTAGCAGTATATCATGCAACTCAGCGCACTATAAAGGCGATGTAAACTTAATACTGCTGTGGGAGCCTATGCGAAATTTTTAGCGGCCCATTGTTTTAAAATGAATAAATGACAACACCAGAACCCCTTTCGGTCAGTGCGTGTGACGCTGTGGAGTGCTGTTACTATGCTCTGTTCTTGGTGCAGGAGCTCTTTAACCCATTTTTCCATAGCCGTTTTGCATGATTTATGGGCCTGAGAGGAGCAATCCTTTCCTTGGCTCGGTAACTGTGCACAGTAGTTTGTGTGGTCTGCTCAAAGTGAGGCCCACAAAACAGTTTTTGCTGCTCTCCTATCTGCCCAGATTTTGCTAATTGCTGTTCAGAGGCTTGGCTGAGGGGGAGACATAAGTCATCCTGGAGAAAGATTCGGTTGGGGGCGGGGGGAGATGGAGCAGCTGGCAGAAGCTACCCCAAAGTAGGCTAATGAATTATAAATAACAGCTGTCAGGTTGCATTGGCAGCGTGCAGGAGCTGAGAGTCTGTGTTGTACCACTTGGTCTCCAGTGTGTAGGCTTGCCGAAAGGTGCATGCAATATTCATGGGAAGTGCGGCAGAATCAGAACGTAGTCAGGTCTGCTTTCTTAACAGTTCCGCTTGCTTGTGGTTGTGCCTTTCACTGATTTCTGTGTTGGGGTGGATTAGAATACCTTTGCAACCTGGACCGTGCATCACTACTGAAAGTCACAGAGAGAAGATTAAAAAGAATAGAAAAAGGTGTTAGTGGTGGTGGTGGGGGAATGCATAGCATATGTATGTTTTGAGGCCTTTGTTGTCTCTACTGAGCAAACTTCACCGTTTATAGAAGCGTATCAGTTCAGCAGAAGTGATATGAATAGGAACTGTAAATGTCTGAGAATGACTCTGAGGGTATTGGGACGACCAAGCCTTTCACAGAATTCTCTCCCTCTGCAGCCTTATTGATAATGACAGGGGAAAGTCTTGATATTTTGAATTCGCGTGTGCTGACTTCCTGCGTTCAGTAGATGTAGGATTACAGAGGGCTCAGGAGGGCACCAGGCTGATTTCATACCCCCTGAATGCAGAGAAGAAGTGGTGTGTTTTCAAGCCTGGAAACAGGTGACGCTCCCCGTCTGGAAGTAACTGGGGATGTAGCTGTTACAACTAAGTCTTCAGTGTACTGTGATGACTGATAGAAATGCTACGCATTAAGGCTCTTGGGATATTACAAGCAAATGATCTGAGGTCCCTTGAACAGGGTAACATGTTGCTAGTACCCTAATATATAGTAAGAACTTTAATCCCTGAACGATGCAAGAAATACCCTTTCTTTGCCTCAGTTAAGGATGCAAAAGAAATTACACATAGTCTTATAATTAGTCTAATACAAGCCTTCCAGTTAAAGTCTAATTACATGCAAGTGACATCAGACAAAAAACAGACTTGCTCATTCATCCCTAATATTCTTCAGAAGGACAGCAATCTTTTCTACTTTTCATTCCTTGCCCCTAGCAGATTCCATGTTGTTGTTTGCTTTCAAAGTGTTATAATTTTTAGGAAATGATCTTACTGAAAGCTATGACTTTCTTGAATTAAGAGTGATTCCTTATGTTCTTCTATGGAACACTGCCTAAAACCACTCTCTTTTTTGAGCGTGGTTGTGAATTTTTTTTTGTTTTTTAAACCTGTAATGTTGTATATTTAGGAAGCAGTGCGTTCAGCACTGTGTAACAGGAGGATAGGGGTGTGCATTTGCACCTCCTTTGGCCCAGTGATGTGCTTCCATAGGTGTTCTTGACAGTGGCCTGCATTTACATCACTGTAAAAGGTTCATGCCATTGCCTCTCCTGTGCTAGTATTTTGTGGCTGTGTAGTGAACTAGGTGGGGAACTAAACTGATTCCAAGTTAAGTTGTCTTTTTGCTGTGTACCTCAGGCAGCAGTGGGTACCTCTGGTTGCTTACAGTGACCACAGAATGGTATTCTAACATTCAGAAGTTGCAGTTGAACTTCTCACTGCATAATGTCTTGTCTCATTGTTATACTGTGAATAGTGTTAGCTTCTAAAGACAGCCTTTTTTTTTTTTTTAAATGACTTGCCTGACTGGGTAAGCAGGGACAGTACCATTCATTTCACTGTTTTAAAAAACAAACAAACAAACAAACAAAAAACCTTTTCTTTTATCCCCAAAGGTAGCTCACATCCCTCTTTATAATGTGAACCCTGCTCTTGTAATCCTGCGTGGAGAAAGGGAAATGATTGTACTTATATTGCCTTCTCATTTTGTGCATTGCTTTCAGAACTTAACACTTCCCTTGCGGCAACCATAAGAAAATGCAAAGCTGGAACAACGTACCTGGCATGACTTTCTTTTCTTTTGTTTTGGTAGATACCCTCCGCTATTACATTACCTGCAGTGCTGGATACCCTAACCCTTTCCAGCAGGTGAGTGTAATTGTCCTACCTCCCTCCACCCTCTCCTGCATCCAGGTTCTCGAAGGGGTTAGGTTACATGTTTAATGCCAGCACACTGCAAACTACAAGATATTAACTTCAGGGAGTGCTCCATGTGTTGGTGAAAGTTTGGTAGCTACTCTCAAGCTGTGCAAAAGGTGACACTGTGATTCAGTGAGCAGGGTTTTTTCTACCTTTGATGACTACCTGCATAGCTTTGGGTGAGGATGTGCTCCAGGAGGGGCCTGTGTGTGGTGTGGTGAGGATGATGGCTTTGTTCATGGCATCTCCTGTTTACATGGCACTCTTCTAAGAGCAGAGACATGGAGCCAGCGCACCCACAATTAAGGCCAGGGTGGGAAACTACGTACTGCCTGCTTTGAATCTCTTTAAGTTCTTTTGGGCTAAACAGTGGCAACGTTCCACTCCCTAAATGCAGCCACCTCCGTTGGGGAGGGAGTGATTCTCACATACGCCTCTTAAATCCCTTGGATGTTTAAGGTTTTGTATCCTGAAGTATAAATGTGAGTCATGTTATTCTTCTGTGTGGGGGCTGAGGAACACCACCTGGGCCCATCCCAAACTTTTTGCCTTGTGTATCAGAGGCCAGAGTGAACCCACACCACCCACCATTTGGTAGACACCGGCTGCTTCACAATTTGTATTTAGGATTTTGTTTTTTTAAATCATCTCTTCCTCCCTTTTAAAGGGGGGGGGGGGACTTCAATCTGTGGTATGATGCACCATTGTTATTAGTTGCATTTCTGGTTGTTCTAACGTGCTATCGCATATGAAATTCCCATGGATGCTTTAGTGTGATATGAGGGCTACACCCTCATTTAAACAACTTCTGCGCCTTCTAAGATTCTTGGTTTGGTAGAAAAATCCAACTATACGCTGTGGTAGGAACATGAATACTTTGCATCTCTTCTTTCTCCTCCCACTCTGTCCTGGAACCCTTGAACTGGCCCCAGCTGTTTTTTGCCTCCTCCCCCCCCCCCCCCGGCCTTCTATTTTGACTTTTTCTCCGGCTGGTTATATTCAAACATTAACTGTATTGGAACTGAACATCTGGCTCATGTCAATTTTTCTCCAGAGTTGAGACATCCTTGGTTGTACCATTCGTACAGATGATGCTTCAATATTTGGGAGCAGGATTTAAGTCTTATTTCCCAGGAATTCTGTTGGTGCGCGTGGCCTGCATTGCTGCTCAGGATTGAAACGTTGTGTGTTTTGTGTTGAGTAGAAGCTGTCAGGAAGTCACAAGGCTCTGGTGGAAATGCAGGATGATGTTATAGAACTCATGAGGTCAGCGAGCAGAGAGCACCCCACCTCCAAGGTAACTCACCTCAGTCTTACTCTCCCCATGCTTTCTGGCTTTGCTTACCCTTGCACAAAGCCTAAAATCGACTCCTGCAAAGCCCTTTCCCTGCAATAATCTCTAGCTTGTTGCTTACAGGAGTATCTTACTCGGATCCAGGAGGTTTTAAATTCAACAGAGATCAACTTGCAGCAACTGACAGCTCTGGTAGACTGTCGGAGTCTACATTTGGTGAGTACTTGCTAACTGGGCTCCAGCTAAGAAAGAACGAAGGGGATGTAGAGCCTCTAGCATACTGACTATTTTGAAGTTTCAGATCTCTGGTGTGCCAAAGCAGTTTACAACAGCTTTATGGACTTTCGCCAGTAGAAAGGAGAATGGGAATTTGGATCAGGTTAGCTTTGTGGTTTAGTGTTAAAAGATCAGTGCAGGAAACTGGACAACATGCCTTTATACATCCACAAGCTACAGCACTAAGGCTTCAGGGATCTGTAATTTGTTTCCATAGCCCTGGGCTGGTTGTCCTTCCCTTGTAAAGCTGCAGCATAGCATGGCCTGTTATCTCTGTTTTCTAAGATACAGCTAGGACATGAATAGTCTATGCTTGTGTTCTTGGGCAGTGGGACACAGTGAAGGAGCTGAGATGGTTAATGAAAAATGGGATATATTTAGTTAGGTAGATAGGCTTACCTTGGCTTCTCCCACCTCCACTTTGATTGTGTGGGGTTGAAAATATTCCCATCTCTGTGTCTGAGCTGGGCTTTGTGAGGGGAAATAAGGATTGAGTCAGCTTATGAAAAGACACTTGAGGTCCCTGAAATAAAATAGGAACGTACTCTGGAAAAGGGACTATGAAGTCTGAAGTTACTTCAGAGATCATAGTCCAGGGGAAGGGCTCTTGAATTGGAGATCCATGTTAACTGTCTAGTGATCAGGAAACTCTGGTTATTTCTCTCTCCAGGATTACGTCCAGGCTCTGACAGGCTTTTGCTATGATGGAGTGGAAGGCCTCATCTACCTGGTTCTCTTCTCCTTTGTCACAGCACTCATGTTCAGTTCCATTGTGTGCAGCGTCCCACACACTTGGCAGCAAAAGAGGTATAGAGAGGGGTTAGATCCTGTTGCATTGTAGAGCTCTTCCCTAACGAGGACTGGCTATTGGATTTGCGCCCATGAGCATCTGGAGCTCTTTTCCCAAGTGCTCCCAGGAGTAGGAGGGATAAGGGTCTTTAAGCGCAGGTCCAACAGGAAAAAAAAATGCTGGCTTTTACCCTGACTTAGTTGATTTTTACATCTGAACCTTATTGTACTGGAATTATTTGTGCAGAGTATTCAGTACACTGTAAAACTGCGAGTCAAGTTAGAGATGAAAAATGGTAGCTGTAGAGAGAGGTAATGGTTGAAGTATGTGCTATCTCTGTAAAAATAGCTCTTCTCTTGCATCATTTAATGGGCATTTGTTCTAATATGGGGAAGAGGTTTGGAACAAGTAGTAGTTCAGGCTTGCCGTTCTTGGCTTTGTTCACACTGGGGCCAACTGACTTACATAGCTAATATGAACTGGGAACAATCTGGTTTGCAATAGCTTGGGCAGATGAGAAACCTGCTAATTTGTGGTGATCACAAACCTACAGAGTTGTTTACCACCACTAATACTAGTTCCAACCAGGCTGATCAGTAAGCCTTGAGCTAATCTTCCCAGGGCATCGCTGACTGTGGTGCAGCATGTGCTGCACCACATGCTGCTACAGCATAGCTTCAATGAGGTTTCTATTCCTGTAGAAGAGCAGTCGACTTTGCAGCAAATGCTCTTTTGTCATCCTAAACCTAATTTTTGTGATTTAAGCCCAGGCTCAAGGTTGAAAGTAAAATGGAACATCCTGAGCAATAGCAGGAAGCCTGGACCTGCTAGGTCTGCTTTGCCTGGAAATCGGTCAGAATAGCACTTAAGAAAATGACTGATTTATTTACCTCTTCCACATGCAGAGGCATTATCAAGAACAGGACGGTAGTCCTCTTCTTCCCTATTTGAAGAAGAAAGCACAACAGAGAAGTCACTGTATAAACCTTTCTTCCACATGAGCTCCTGTTCTCCCTGCCAACCCCAGCAGGCTGAGGCTGCTGCTATGAACTGAGGAATTCCCTCTTGTGCTCCCTGCAGCACCATTTCTTCCTCTGCCTCCCTCAGGGAGGTGGAGGATATACTGCTTTCTTGCCTGTAAGAAGAGACTGTCAGCTGTAATTCCCTGAATAAATCTTCAGTGCCACCTTGTGGTACAAAAAGTGCAGGTGATGGTTGAGATGTTACAGCTATGTCCCTGCTGTCTCTTTCAGCACCCTCCCCCCCCCCCCCCCCCCCAAAAGCAATAAAGTGTTTCCTAGAAAACGTTTTACTGGCTTTGTCTAGCATCACTAATATATATTTCAAATGCTGGTGCTCTCTGATTAGGGAGATAAAATAATAATATATATTACATAGTAG